TACTTTGATTTTTTGATGAATTAAATTATGATTTTGTTTGAAAAAAAGGAATCTTTTAAGAAAAATTCATTTTGAAGAATAGCGAAAATCATTTGATGAGTATCGATTAGATTTTCATTATTTCGAATTTAATTATTTCACTTCATTTTTCATCCAATTCAATGATTTTATTCTTCAGAATAACAAAAATTTCAAGTCAAAAATAAAAAAAATATTTATTCAAACGATTTCTTCGTCTTCTTCAATCGAGAGATCATCACGTTATTATTCTCGACTTTTTTTCGTTTCTTTCCAATATTAATAAAAGATTTAGAAAATCAATTGATATTTCATTTATTTTTCTCTTAATTTATTAAATTATATGTGAAGAATGAAATGTTTTACAATAAAATAAAGAACAATAAATGAAAAAATAAATATTTCAATTTATTCTCTATAATAGCATATGTCTCTTTATAGAACAAAAAAAATATGTTCTCTTCTCTCACCCTTTGTCTCAGTAGAATATATTAGTAACTTTTAGAAATTATTTTTCTAATTGATCATATGTAGTTGGATCTCCATTTATATTTAAAATTTAAATTAAATATCTAATAAAAATATCTAATATATTTGGAAAGGGTGTGGGTGTGGGTGTGAATGGGAAAGGTAAAGTAGATTCACATTTTCACCTTCACCCACACCCTCAAGTGGTTAGTGCGTCTTTGAATGTCATACTATAAAGGTTGAGCGCTGTTAAGATATGAATACGAATCATGATAACTACACGAAGAAGTTGATGATGTTTGGGCTATGTAACATACGAGACATTGAAGTTGATTTTGATCCTGTTCCGTGTTGATCGCCTCACTGAAGATGATCACTATCATATCTCCCAACGTTGTTTTCCGATACATATGGGACACATTCGGATAATAACGATATTTTGTGTCCTCTTCATCGCGAAGGAAAAGATTATATGGTTGTATAATAGTAATTGGAGGGAGAACTTCTTCGGTAAAATATTATGCAAAGAGATTTATCATAGTGCCTTTGGATGTTGAAAGTTCATTGGTATTTGGATCAAATCGTTTTGTGAACTGTTCGAATAAATAGGTTTCATATAACTTGCCATTATTGTTTGTGACAGTAAGTTTATCTCGAAAAATGGTTCGAGCTGAATGTTGTGCTTGACATGTAAGAGAATTGAAGACAATCTCTGGCATATAGACATGATCGATATAGCTGAGAGGAATCCGTGAAGGTAAATAACTCTCGAAAACCATGTGAGAATCGACTTTTTCCCACCACCTGATCACGTCATTCATATCTATGCTTGTCGTTTTGTTGTCCTTTCCAATGATTGCAATGAGTAGCGTAGCTGCTGCATATTCGTAGCCTGATACCGAGCAATGCAATTTTGATTTGTAAAATTGATGAATTCGAGAATCCTGTGTACCATAATCTATGACCCATGGTAGACAGGTATAAACATGACCATTTGGAAATAAAGTGGCTGCTGGAATGGAAAAATGAGAGGAGGGATGAAGCATTAACTCTCGTTTAAATACGACAGCTATTTCACCATAATATTGTCCTCGATGTGGACCTAGAATGGCGAAGACGTGTTGATCAGTGCCCAATGCTTTATCACCATTAAAACCCATTCCCATTGGTTCTTTGCTTAGATTCAGAGACGCTTGTGTAATGTCGAGAGCATAACGATGAATGATGTCAAGTTCTTTCTCTGACAAAACTGTGCTTAAGATCTCCTTTTTTATAGGACTCGAGGCATCAACAATTGGAATTATAGCCGCGGTTGGTGTCTGTTTGTTGAACTCGGTGATAACAATAGTCTTAATTAGATCTTGAGCATAATCGATCAAGACGGGAGTGTTCAGACGACTTAAAATATTTCGAAGTTGATTATGTTCTATAATTGTGTTAGTTATGAAGTGAGGATCTCGAAGAAGATCTATATGTGATCGACTCATAAGTTCTTCATAAATAAGGATTGACTCAAATATATGTTTCTTACATCGATGGATAGGCTGTAATAATCGAATCCATTTAATAATATCCGAATGGAAAGCGGTTGTTTTCTCCCATTTCATCGCATCGACATACATATTAATAACCTTGATGATTTCATTATGATTGCGGACGAAATTGATTCGACTATTGAGCTCGAAGTAGTCTACAATACAGGCATCATTATAAATCTGAGATTCATCGTGTTATTTGATAGATTATAAAAGATAACGAGCAATAATCGTCATTATTCTGTAAATGTATCTAGACATGCATTGATCGAGAAAAATCTCATTCACATAAAGATTAAATATGATTTAAGAAAAAAAGTTTTCAGTAGTTACTTGAAAAAGCACTTAACAAATCTTTTTACGAATTATGGATTTCTAGATAAACTACACTTACGAGGGAAGCGTCCCAAGTGACTAATCGCTTTGATTTCGGGCTCTACGCATAATGTAGACCCCAATGAGATATGAAAAACTCCAAAAGGATAAGTAGTCATAGGCCTTTCTTCTACAGTTACAGTAATTTTACCGAGATTGTAGCTCAAAGCACTGTATTTCGATCTGAGAATTTGCTCACGCACATGTCTACTTGTAGCTAGAATATCCTGAAATTTTCAGCTCCAAAAAATGTTTTTCTCGTGAGATGCCGAATTTTCAAAAATCACTCGTGTTCTATGAAAGATATGAGAACCGCATGTTATTTCGAAATTCGATATCTCGCAAGAGAAACACGTTCATGGAGCTGAAAATTTCAGGATATTCTAGCTACAAGTAGACTTGTGCGCGAGCAAAATCTCAGAGCGAGATACGGTCATTCGTTTTATTAGTATATACTGTGCTTTGAGCTAAAGTTTCAGTAAAATCACTGTACCTGTAGAAGAAAGGTCTATGGATACTTATGCTTTTGGAATTTTTCATATCTCATTGGGTCTACATTATGCATAGGGTCCAAACTCAAAGCGATAATTCACTTGGGACGCTACCCTCATTAGTGCTTTCTTTCTCGTTCAGATACTAATAACATCTAGCTATCTAATCAAGTTCAATTTGTGCTCTTGTAATGGATTTATAAATGAGTTGAGTTGTCGTATTTTAACCATAGATAACGGAACTCGATATTAACTTGCATGATTACATTAGTACACAAATAATATCCAGAGAAGTGAACTCAATATATATAATTAGACTCTTTATTGTTATTAGTGATTGATACTCTATTACTCCCTGTTTCCAAATGTCTGTTGATATTCTTATACGATTATATTGTCTTAGAGAATTCCGATCGAAATACACTGAGACCTTTGCGGAATCTTTACATATTAGTTTATCGAATTAGTTTAACCACACATGTACGTATAGAATGTCCATAACTTCTGTTAGGATGATCATGAAAGGTTCGAATCCTATGTCGAAACATCTGTTATACGATTTTTCCAGAATAGGGGTCGTTTTCTTATAGATGCCTAAAAAAGACGAATTGTTTACACTTTGCTTTTATCGAAATGCCTAAAATGAATACCACAGACCAACGATCAATTAATAATATTTCTTAGACGAAGATGAATATATATTGATTGAGTTCTTGTCGTAATGAGTTTCATTATATAGTACTTGACAGTTTCTCTTTGAATTAGATTTTTTGATCAAAGTATAACCGCTCTGAGTGGCCAATAAAAACTGAAAGAATCTTCTAATTCACTGCCAATATTTTTATGAGAACATCCTATCATACTTACTACTAGAAAAAAAAACATTTCTTCTCCATAAATGATTAGTTTTTCGATAATGAATACTTCAAAAGTTTCGTGCCTCGCTGTGTACTCGGCGAAATTCATATGATATCTAGTTCACTGACTGGTTCATTGAAATATTACAATGAAAACATAAAGATACAGAACTTTCGATTTCATTGAGAAGATACATTCAATGCGCTACTGTAAGGACGAAAAAACATAATAACTCTTTTTTTTATTTTAGCGTTCACATAAACAAATAACACAGAAACCAATACCAATATAATGAACAATATTGTAACTATCGTGAACATCGTCGGCATCGATAACAAGATCTCTACTAAATTTACCAATATCACTATTAATATCGTAGGCAGCATGACAAGTGTCACCTTCACGACGCACAAAACGCTTCCAAATACAATTATCCGTCCAGCGCTTCTTATCAGCTTCATTCCAACTAGACACATTGCGGATCCAATTCCAACTATCGCGATCATCCAAATAATGATAATCACGACATTTATGACATACGGCACAAGCACGACCGTGACAAAGACTCTTCTCTATGGAGAATTCTAAATCAAAACATCGGTCATGTACACTTAATATAAGAAGCATATCCAATAGAGAATAGAACAGATTCGATCTACACGTTTCCGCAAAAAAAACACTAGCTATATATCAATACTTAAATCAGCTCAAACTATTTGGATTTCTTTTTTATTTCAAAGATCCGAGATTCGATCAGTTTCGAAGTTTAGTTTTTTTGCTTGAACTTAAATATTATCATGACCAGTCTTTACCGTAGTGGATAAAACACATAATTGTATACCGAGTCCAATCTATCACCCGTTATTTCTCATATAATGCTATTACGAGTACCTGATTATAGTACAAAGTATTCAACCATAGGAAGAAAATTCAAATGAAGAAATCCAGTGAATTTTATTTTGGTACGTGTCTCATGTTAGTTGATAAAATAATCCGTCACACGTAGCGGCGGATAGACAAATTTTAATGATTCTGTGACATATTTGATTAAAAAATAGTTTAATGTTTTAAATCGATACAGATAAGAAAGAATTCTGTTAATTTCAGTTGTGGAAAAGACAATTTAGTACATCATCTTTTATATAGCTTCTCATAAGAAAAAAAAGAGAAAGACTATCACCAATCTACTGTCCTTTTCAATATCATGAGACTGTAGACAACACTAATATAACTTGACTTCTTTTTAAACTATTTTCTATTTTCTAATTTACTTCAAATCTTAGTCATTACATGATATTTCCCGAGAATGACTTCGTAGGTAGATAGAAAATGTATGACCAAAATGTTCTTCTTTTTTAATAGAAGAACACAATTGATAATACAGTCCAATCGAAATTGCATCCTAATTAGGTGTAAAACAAGTATTATGAACTATAATTCAATAAAAATGACGCATTCTTGCTGAAAAATTCTTATTTTAGTAGTGTATCTCTGAATTTTATCTTTGCTTCAATTGATTTTCCTTTACCTTGTTCTCCCCATCTTTCATTTTCTCTTTGATGTTGTAGAAAAATATCCACTTTTTCCAATAATAGTTTATAATGTTTCGGTGTTATCTTCTTCTCAATTACCTGTAAACCAATCTTCCAACCATGTTCAGCAATATTATCTAACGCTAATCCATATAAATTTTGCTTATCTGTAATAGCACATTCTTTTAATAATGGAAATAAATCGAAACAGCACTGTTCACGTATCGCTTGAAATAATACTGGTGGATCTTTATTGATTAATTTATTCATAACATCTTCAACAATATAATGCGAATATTTTGTAATTGATTTTAAACCATTCTGTGTTACAGTTAACCATAGTTCATTAAATATATTTGTTCCATTTAAATAATCATCATCTATGCCTTCAAAGAAAAGTTGCAAAACGATTGATAAAATTTCATATTGTCCGATAAACTTATCACCATATCGTGCTGTACGAGTTAAAACTTGTTCGTACCAATGATGATTTTCACCATTTTTATATTCATTTAAGAATAGAATAAACCATTTTTTTGAACTATGGACTATTTTCCACTGTAATTCAAAATATTTTTTTAATAATTTCATCAATGTACTATCATCTCCTTCCATTGCAGCCTTATAGGTATCCGGATTAAGATAATCATAATATTTTACTAAAGATTGTCGACCATGTTTAAATAGATCAGAAAGAATAAAATATTGTTTTTTCTTATCGCTTAACGTAAGAAGTTGTAGCATATCGTTTTCAATTGATTCTTTCGTGCGTTCATTATCAATTGTAGCATCGATTTTTTCAATTTCAGTCGATTTTGTCTCTGACAATTTTGAAGTATTTTTTGGTTGAACATCTTTCTCAGCGTTCTCTGACTGTTTCTTTTTCTCTTCTAAAATGATGCAAATAACATTAGTAAATATTTCGACATATTTTTTTCATTAACAAAAATTCAAACTTAAAACAAGTGATGCTAGTCTATGAGTTCGTGTAGCTCTTTCTCATAGTTCTCACCCAACAGTCGACAATAGATCTTACCAGATGATGGTTCCTCGGTATCGATAGTGCTGATCACTGTTTCTATAAGAGGAATAGTTGGCTTGAGTTCTTTTATTTGAATCAAATGAAGACCCGATGCTGGTTCAAGACACGATATAACTTGAAATTGTCGAGCAGGAAGAAGAAGGAATTCTCCTTCTGATCGATAATATGAATGTCGATTAATATCTTTGCCAGTGAGGCATTCAATAGTAAATAATGTTCTTGTACCTGTTTTATCCAAAAATTGCTCATTTTCAAGTACTTCAACACATGATGCACATGAAGAAAAACCCCACCAAACGAATATTTTTCCTTTTGAATATTCTTTACTTAAGTTTTTGTTTACTCCACAATAAACAGATCGTGGAAAAGATGGTATTTGAGAGAGTGCAGTAAGAATAAGTTTCAAATAAGAGAACCACGGTTTTAACTTTCGTCTGTCCTCTGCACGAAGAATTTCGTTTAAAGCGAAATGAAGACATTGTTCCTGCGGTTCCCATTCCATCGTATACAATATGATAGATGCTGACTCATCCTTGGTAAGACCGTCTGCAGGTTTAGCATCGCAACGCTCTTTAGCAACATGAACATAAACTTGAATGGACGGCATTATTGACACGAGTGGTAGAACTGCTTCTTCAAGTGGTAATAATGGCATCTTGTCATACCCATATATTGGCATGAGCATTCTAATCGGTTCTCTAGTGATGTCTGACATCCGAACATAACTTTGCACAGTTGTTTTTGTAGCCATATCGACCGATAAAAGTATTTCAAGATTAAGAAAAGAATATTCAAATCTGAAAACAAATATTATGAGACTTTAAATATTAAAGAATGAATGGTGTCATATATTCCAAACTTGAAACATATAACTCTGTTGATCGGAACTTATTAGAAATGCACTAAGATCAGTATGAAACAAAGATAGCGATTAATCAGGATATCTTAAAATGAATTCATGCAAGAAATGAATAACAAAGTAATTCAAAATCTTTATATGATATAAAAATTATACATTACATATGCATATCTATTATATTTCATATATAAGTATACATTATTTAAGTTAGTTTAATAAGATCCGCTAACAATTAGTAAGGACTAGCAGGATCTACCACACCTGGGGAAGATCTGCTGTACGTGTGAGTGTTTCGTGTCACCCACATCGAGAGATATGTGCTTGTGTGTGGATGGCTGTCATGGTCTTCGGTAATCTTCTTGTCCACATACACCCCTCCCTAGTAGCCTCTAGTAGTCCCTAGCAGTCCATGGTAGTGACTACTAGTTCCTGGTGTCGCATATCAGAATCTGAAATATTTTGTAATTTAGTTCTTTGGGTGAGAGTGTGAGTCCACACTAGAGCCCATCGGGTCCACAATTTTTTGGACCCGAAGCCAGGTCCGGATCCAAGTCGGACGCGATGCTGATGTGCACTAGCCTGAACTCGAACTGTACTTTTAGAGTTTCAGTAGATTTTTCTACTTAAAATCTGATAGTTGCTTCGAAAATAGTTTTGTTATTGTTCTTTCTATCATTTTTATAAATAAATTCAAGACTTTTTGAATGAAACGAATAAAAAATTAAAGAATCTCAAAAAAAATATCATGCTGATAACATATTTCTTTCGATCCAGACCCGGTTAGTAGAAGCTTCGATACCCGGACCCGACGGGCTCTAGTGTGGGTGTGAGTGTGTCTTATCTCCTCACATAGACACTTACCCAGGTCCACACTTACAGCCATCCACACTCATTTTATGAGTATAATTTAATGTTAGTTATCATTTTTAGTTTCGATAGTTTTGTATGTAACTAAGAGAATTTATAATCACTAGAGAAGATGATTAGCGCCAGTTCCTTTTAAGAAAACTGGATAAATGGTATATGAAAACAAAACGAAATGAAAATCGGAAAAAAAATCATAGAAAAAAATTTTATCTTCTATAAAAGTAAAAGCTAGTACGCTACAAGCAGTAATAGTTAATTATTCTCAAATGCTTTGACGAATAATAATTATTTTCTTTAATACTATTTTCGTTTTAAACATAAATAAAAATATAAAAAAGAATGATACTTACCCCTATTTGAATTTACAGTATGTGTATCGTTTACTTTTTCGTCTGAGTTTTTATTCTTACTAATCAATAAGATTATTATCTAATAGATACCTTTTTTTTATATATGTTGAATCATTGTGCGACTGAAATATATATATAAAATATTTGATCGACGAAATAAATAACGTCAAAACAACATTATAGTCATATAAATCCTACGAATAGGATTTAAAATCATGTGACAATTTGACGCACATATATAATGTGTCCACATGTACTATTACTTTGATAATATCGGTAAAGAAAAAAAGAATAATATTGGTTACATCGAAGTGAAAATATATCCACGTTATAACGATACGTTTTGATTTTTCTTTCTCTTCTTAAGTATGGATATTTTCCTCACCTGTCACGTTCGTGATGAGTTACAGACGCAAAAAAACAAGTAAAAAAAATGTAATTGCAAAACAGATAAATGTAATTTTGTTGACGATCATTTTATAATCAAAGAGGTAGAATAAACAACTGCATTTTAAGTACTATGGTAAATTGTCAGATTATTCCAAAGGGGAAAAAGCGATTTATGATTTTTTGATTAAAATTTGATTTTTAACTGATTTAAATCAGCTTTTTCCCCCTTGGAATTATGTTATTCATCTAAATGGATTTCTCGACAGTCGTAGATCGTCGACAACATATTGAGAGTGTGGATGTCTGATATATCCTTAATGCACTTGTGCATTCATCCTCACCTATATTCTGACTTTAGTCACATCTCTATTAACAAAACATTCAATCGACAAAATACTTTCCCATAAAAAAAACTTCTTCGTAAAATCTGTTGAGTAACTAATATTTGGATGAGGAACATATTATTGATAATTAGACGTCGTCTGTACCAAAGAATAATTGTGAAGAATGAGTTACTTTGATTTTTTGATGAATTAAATTATG